AGAGCACCTCCAGACGTAGCACGCACAGGCTCAGCACCTCCAGACACAGTACCCTCAGGCTCCACACGCCCAGGCTCAGCACCCCCAGGCTCAGCATGCCCAGACTCAGCACCCCCAGACTCAGCACCCCCAGTCCCCGCACCCGCAGGCTCAGCACCCCCAGACTCAGCACCTGAGTCGACAGCTACCTCGACCGGCTCGGCAGGGTCTACCTGGGACACACCTGAGGGGGCAGGACCCTGGGGGGGGAGGGTGTCTACCGGGGGAGTACCTGGTGCCAGGAAGAGCGGCGGGGGGGGGGGGGGGGGGGGAGAGGCAGTGCGGTAGGGAAAGAGACGGTAGTACGACACCGACTCGTCAAACGTGACGTCCTGAGAGGACAAAACACGACGGGAGGTGGGGTGGTAGAACTGCCACCCGGGTGCGTCAGGAGGGAAGCCAAGGAAGACACAGGGAACGGCATGGGAGGACAGCTTGTCCGCTGTAGTATCGCGGACAAAAGCTCGAGATCCCCAGACACGGAACGCGGACGCATCAGTGTGTACAGACTCGACCCTGGCCTACGGGTGAACGTGGCCTGGTGGCGGCCCGTCCAAGAGCAATTGCAGTGGGTCACACGCTGACCTCCAGGGGTGAACTGGTCAACCCACGCGTCCTGGAGGTCAGCTCCACTCACCAAGTTCGTAGAGAACGAGGGGAGGTGGAGTCCCGACAGCAAGCCCGACGGGGCCGCAGGACACGGTAGAACCGTGGAGGAGTGTGCAAGTACTGGACCCCCAGAGGGGTCAGCAAGGGAGACCGCAACAGGCCGACTGAGCGGCATGAGCGTGGTGCTGTCTCTAAAGAAAGAGCGCGAAGCACCAGAGTCAAGTGTGAAAGTGTGCAAGGACTCAGTAGGTGCAGTACCAGAGAGAGTAGACGCACCAGCACCTGGAGCAGCAGACGCACTGCCACCTAGAGCAGCAGCCGCACTAGCACCTAGAGCAGCAGCCGCAATGCCCGGGTCGGGCGGGACACTCAGGTAACAGTCACCCTCAGCACTATCAGCAAGAGCATACATGGCAGCAAGGATAGCATCAAAATCTAGATCAAAGATAGGCACATTCTGCAGAAGCAGATCATGCCAGCGAGGGAGCTCAACGGCGTCAGGAAACTGGGTACGCCAAGCGTCAGTCAAGCGACCGAAGCAGCGCTGCGTGGTGTGTGGGAGCCCACACACCTCCCCACTACGAGTGCCGGTGCGAAGAACGTAAGTGCAGGGACCTGCACTCCCAGACCTCCCACGCCCAGCGTACCACTCACGAAGCTGCTGAACCGACGGGGTCTCACGGGTGCGCAGCTGCTGCTGGCGCTGGCCGCCACCAAAGCCTCCACGCTGCGCTGCTGCACCTCGCCCAGCACCACCGCCGCCACCACCTCCACCCCCGCTGCCGCTGCCTCCACCACCTCCGCCACCGCCGCCACGACCTCCACTGCCGCCACTGACGCCCCCACTCCCGGTACCACCCCCGCCTACACCGCCACCTCCTCCACCGCCTCCACCTCCTCCACTGCTTCCCCCACCGCCCCTCCACCACCCTTGCTCCCCTTGCCCTTGCTGTTGCGGCGTCTCCCACTAGGGGCAGACGCAGCTCCGACCTCCTCAGTGCCAACGAGGTCGACAGCAGCAGCAGAAGCAACAGAGGGGAGAAGGGGAACAGGGGAACACCCCTCAAAGAAGGGGGTGCGACGGTCGCCGCGAGAAGCACCTACAGCTAAGACACTCTTCTCAGCTGCAGCAAGGCGCTCCTCTAGCAGGTCGACAGTCAGCTCGGTGGGGGAAAGGGAGATAAAGTGGTCCCTGACTGAAGAGAGGGAGTCAGGGAGGCGGGTGACTAGGTAGTAAAGGGTGATGTACATGGGGGGGGGGTTCTTGGCACAGAACTCAGTGGGAAGGGCAGCGCAGTAGCGGGCGTCACTAGTGCGAAGGTGAGCAACTAGGTCAGCGACTGTGGCAAAGGCGGCAAGGTCAGGAAAAAGGTACGGCAGCATGAGGCGGCTGAGGGCAGCAGTGGCAGGGGAGGAGTAGCGCGCAACTACAGCGTCGTACAAAGACTGAGCAGTCTTGTACTGGCCGAAATGCGCGCGCTCAGCAGGCGGCAGGTGACTACGAACAGCAAGACGAGCAACAGCGTCACGAGTGGTCCACTGCGAGCGAACCGTACTGTCAGCAGTGGCAGCAGGAGCAGTAGAAACACCGGACGTGTGATCGAAAAGGGATACCCCATCCCTAGAATCACACTGACGAAAGAGCTGCAGGTCGTCAACCCACACGTCAAAATCAACTGCACGTCCCTCAGCATCAAAGGTGAGAACGGTAGGACTAGCCATAGCAGCAGTAGGAGCAGTAGCAAGAGTAGCAGCAGTAGCAGTAGTAGCAGCAGTAGAAACAGTAGCAGCAGGGCAGTGCAAGGCAGTGCTGCTCGGTAGGGCAGTGCGGTTCGGTGGGGGCGGCGCGGCTCGGCTGAGCGGCGCGGCTCGGCTGGGCGGCGCGGCTCGGCTGGGCGGCACGGCTCGGCTGGGCGGCGCGGCTTGGCTTACCAGAGACGGGTGCAGGGGCGGGCCGGGACTGTAGGGGCCGCGCCAGTAGGGGCCAGGCAGAGACGCGTCAGCAGGGGCCGGCAGGAGCGCGCCAGCAGGGGCGCGTCAGCAGGGGCCGGCAGAGGCGCGCCAGCAGGGGCCGCGCCAGCAGGGGCCGGCAGGGGCTCGTTAGCAGGGGCCGGCAGGGGCTCGTCAGCAGGGGCCGGCAGGGGCGCGCCAGCAGGGGCGCGTCAGCAGGGACCGGCAGAGGCGCTCCGGCAGGGGCCGCGCCAGCAGGGGCCGGCAGGGGCTCGTTAGCAGGGGCCGGCAGGGGCTCGTCAGCCGGGGCCGGCAGAGGGGCGCGCCAGCAGGGGCGCGTCAGCGGGGGCGCGCCAGCAGGGGCCGGAAGGGGCCGCGAAGGGCCGTCGAAGAGGGCCGCGAAGGGCCGTGAGGGGGCCGCGAAGGGCCGCGAAGGGCCGCGAAGGGGCCTCGAAGGGCCGCGCAAGGGGCCGCGAAGGGCAGCGAGGGGCCGCGAAGGGCCGCGACAGGGGGCCGCGAAGGGCCGCGAAGGGGGCCACGAAGGGCTGCGAGGGGCCGCGAAGGGCCGCGAAGGGCCGCGAAGGGGGCCGCGAAGGGCCGCGAGGGGCCGCGAAAGGGGCCGCGAAGGGTTGCGAAGGCCGCGAGGGACTGCGAAGGGCCACGAAGGGCAGGCGCACGGGGCGCTACGAGGACAAACGCGAAACGCGCTTCGGGCAGGTAAGGAAAAAAAAAAATCTTAGTGGTGGGCCCTAGAAAACAGTTCCACTAGGGAACCTGTTCTATACCATGTGAGAATAATGAGAGGAATGAATGTGAACTAGAAAAGAGGTGGGGTACAAGTAGCAAACACAAAAGTGTTGTACCCTCTAAGAACTACCCCACTACAGCCTAAACAGACTATATCATATATAAGTTTGACATAAAATTCTCCAACGTTGCAGTTATTACAAAAAGTAAAGCCCCGAGGTTCTTTCGGGAAATGTTTTTTTATCATTTTGCAAGTTCGCAATGATGCTATCAAAAATATGATTTTAACCGTCTTTGTACTAGCTACATATATATACATAAAACGCCTCTGAAACTTTTCGGTCCATGGTAATATAACAAACGAGGTCCTTCAAAGTCGCGGCGGGACTTGTTCAAGAAAGATAAAACTGTGCGTAAACGCTTTCACAATTGATAAATTCCTTTTTTGTCAGGATCATTTCGGCATGTAGTTACCATTCGCGTGATGGGCTGCTAGTGTATAGTTACCATACGCGTTAAGCGAGTTACCAAACGTGTTATGCGAGTTACCAAACGCGTTAGCGGAGTTACCAAACGTGTTGAAATCGTTACCGTACGCGTTATAGTGCCCCATGTAAGTTACCATTGAAATATTTTCCCTTTTTTTCGAGCGTGTCCTGCTCTTCATTTCTAATCGGATTTCGACCCAAGGGCGTAACGGTTCGAATCGGATCCAACAGTTGAGGAAGATGTGAGGACGCGTGGTGCCTTGTCCCTTGCATCGCAGGCACCCACAAGCAACTTCCCTAATCAAATTCGCCAGAAACTGCACAGTTCCCTGGAACTGTTTTGTTTCCCTTCAATGCACAGCAAAACTATGGTATGTACACTTGCCTAGTCAGAGAGGGAGGATTTTCGGACGCTCACAAATTTTGGAACGGAGAAACACCCTGGATGCCCAGACTTCGATCATCAGTCGAAACTTCAAGAACTGCGGACCCTATTGGACGAACCAATGCCCCCCGCCCTCCTCTCCACTCCACTCCACACCACACCACACCACAACCGCAACCTCAGTCCGCCTCCGCGTCGCTACTGCCTGCGCTAGTTTTGCATCATGCATGGTCAGTACAGTACACACTGAGGTCAAATACATGATCATGACACAACATGTTGTGGCTCTAGTCTAGAGTTTAATTCACACGTTGTCGCTGCTGCTTCACCATCGACCCGCGTATGAAGGCACTTCACACGCCCAATTTCCGACGCGGAATCAGACTTTCACGTCAAGATTCAGGGGGATGACTTTCAGTCGCATTCCGGCGTCGCAAGTATACCCGATTCAACTTTTAGTGCCCTTTTCGAGAACGCGTTCGTCCGCCTCGACTACAACTTCCTCTTTGCAATCAAGCTTCATCAACGTATAGTGACGGAATCTATGCAGCTAGCCGCACGTGTCTGTGCTGCGTGTGCATGGATTGCGGCCCGCCGTGTAAGCCGCTAGTATTGTACTCGTAACGAAGCTCGAAACAGCACTAGATCGAGACACACTAGCCATGCAGTCAGCGCTGAATCGTCGCCCCGCCCGGATACCCCCCGGCTCCGGCCGCATTTGCCGCGGGATCTCCTCCGAGTCGCCGCAGCAATGCGCGGAAATCCAGGGTGCTGCATTCTCAATGGCGGGATTCAACCCCTCTACCGCCCCCCCTCCCGGCGCCCTCGCTCCCGCCGGCTCCCGTCCGCAAACCCGCGGCCAGAAGCCTTCCTTCCCCCGCTCCGCTTCGCTGGGCGCTGGCGGAAAATCCTCCTCCGTACCTCCCCCCGCATCGAGCGCAACGCATGAGCGCAACCTCCGCAGGCGCTCGTCCGCGGCGGGGTCGGCGGGAGCGGAACTCGGCACACGAGTCGCGGCGGCGGCGGCATCCGTGGCAGCGGCAAATGCGGCTCCGCTGGTTGCTCCTACGGCTGCTGAGCTTTCCGTCGCGGCGGAGGCGGCGGAAGCGGCGGAGACTGCTGCGGAGGCGGCGGCGGCGGCAGCAGCGCAGCGGATTGCGAAAGCGCGGGAGCTGATGGAGCGGCTGCACCAGCCGACGGCGCACGAGATGCGCCAGCAGCGGGAAGAGGCGGAGCGGCGGGAGAAGGCGCGGCAAGAGATGCTGGAGAGGCAACAGAACGAGGAGCGGCGAAAGCAGGAGCTGGTAACCCGCGCTGCGACGATCATCGCGACCGCGGGGATGCCGGGCGCGCGGGAGTTCCGCGCGGAGCAGGAGCGGCGGGAGGAAGAACGGCGCGCGCAAGAACTGCAGGAGCAGGAGCAGCGGGAGGCGGAAGAGCGGCGGCAGAGGGAAGAGGAGGAGAGGCGACAGAGGGAAGAGGAGGAGCGGCGGCAGAGGGAAGAGCGGCGCCAGCAGTTGAAGAACCGGGCGTCTACGATTGTCGCTAATGCGCCTTCGTGGGAGCAGGCGCTACAGCAGCAGCTGCGCCACCACGATCAAGATTCCGGCGCGAAAGCGAGGGAAACGGAAGCGTCTCTGGTGCTGTTGCCGCGACGTCGCCCACTGACGCTACAGATCGACGACGCAAGCGCCGACTGTAACGTTGTAACGGTCGCTTCCGCGACGACAGGCTCCGCCAGGTCGCAAGGCGCGTTGGGAACAGAACGCAGCCCACGATCAGCGCCGCTGGCGACGCCGGCGGCGGGAGCGAAGTCCCCCGGCTCGATCTCCCGGGGCGCGGCGCGCTCGTTCGGATCCCCCTCTCCCGCAGCATTCCTTCCGCCGAAGTCTCGCGCTGCGCCGACCTGGGGCGCAGACGCAGCTTCCGCCAGGGACGAGGCGGGTAGGCCTGACGTCAGTAGACCGGAGGCAATTAAATCTCCCAAAGGCGCGGCGCAGCTTTCTTCGTCCTCGGGAGGTCGTCACACGCGGAGCTTCCACGGGCAGCAGCAGACTTTCCACGGGCAGCCGGGCGATTCGGTCGGGCAGAGAAACGGGCATGTAAAAAAGTCGGTGTCGTTTCCCGACATGGGGTGTTTACACCCGCTGGGATTTCCCGGCAAGACCGCGGAGCGCAGTAACACTACGGGTAGTAGCAGCGCAATTCACGGCGGAAACGCGACGACTACTACTAGCAGCGGCCCCAGGCGTAGCCCTAGAGCCTCGCGCGGCGCGTCGACAATAGAAAGGTCACCGAGGAGAGGCGAGTCGATAGATTTAACTGGCGATCATTTAGTATCGGTTGAAGAGGACGACTGGGGTCGCTCGGGGATGGAGAGGCGACGCGAGAGGAGGAGAGGAGGCAGTGACGGGTGCGCGCTCGCGTTGACTGATGACTGGGCGGCGGATTATGATGACGATGCTCCTGTAGCGAGAACGCTTGTACCGAGTACGGTTGTAGCGAGCGGGTGGGAGCGCGAGATCAGCTTGGCGGATCTGCCTCTAGACTCTGCGCCGGTACTGGTCGTGTCGCCCCGCCCGCCCCACGCTTCCGCCGAGCTTCCCCCCGCGGGCGCGCCTCCGCCGAGTCTGCTCTCCCCCCGCCCCATGGAATTACAGATTGATCTGCACGATAGCCCTTCCTCGCCCTCTCCTCCCTCCCCACTCCCTCTCTCCCCCTCTCCCCACGCTCCCTCTCGCCACCCTTTCTCCCCTCACTGCCCGTCCCCTTACTCCCCCTTCCCTCGCTCCCCCTCCCAAGACGCTGGGAAACTCTATGGCGCATCGCCTATGCTTCCAGCCTTTCAGGGTGCCAGTAGAAAGAAGGACTCTCTCCCGCCTCTCTCCCCCACCTGCATTCCCCCCCACGCCTCGCTTGCCGGACCAGCCTCCAAGGCTCGGCACGCCTACCCCCGGAGCAAGAGCTCCGCCGAAGCAGAGGGTTCGCCCCGAGAAGGCAAATCTCCCGAACCTGAGTATTCTCCAGGTTGGGATGATGTTGGTGAGGTGAACGGGGTGCGATCCCTTGATGAACGGGTTCGAGGTTCGGGCCGAGCCTGCGCTGCCGAGGTTGAGGATTTGCATAGTGCAGTATCCCGAGCCAAGACCGTGGAAGGCAGGATTGAGGGAAGGGGAGGGGGACGAGGTAGGGGAGCAGCGGGAGGAGGAGGGGCGAGAGAAGTGAGAGTGGGCGAGGGTGTGAGAAGAGGGGAGGTGCAGCAGAGACGACCTGGGAATCGGTCCCATAGTAAATCCATGGACTCAGGGTCAGGAGGTGTGGGATGCAGCAAGCAGCAAGCAGAAGCAGCATCAGACAGCCCGGGTAATAACGGCAGCCCGAGCAACCAGGGTAATCCGGGCAACCGGGGTAACCAGGGTAACCGGGACAACCAGGGCAGTCCGGGCAGCACAGCAGCAGTGGGAGACGGCAAGGCGAGAATGGGGTCTGAAAGAATTGCGAGGAGAGGGCTCGTGAAGCATGTGAGTAGTGCGGTGGAGAGGGGCAGCAGAGGGAACTCGTCAGGGGATGCGGCTGGGGATGGATCAGGGAGAGATGGAGGGAGAGGCAGGCACAGGCTGGCATGCAAGACCATCAACAAGGCCGCTTTCAAGGTGCGGAAGTTGTTTCTTTTCCGTCTGTTAGTTCTTCTTTTCCTCTCCACGTCCTCTCTTCCGTGTGTGTGTGGTTTGTTTGGTTTTTTTTTTTTTTTTTTTTTTTTTTTTTGCCTTGTGTGCCTTGCACTTCTTGCTTCGCTTTTCCTCCTCCCTCCCATGCTCTGTCCCCTCCCATGTTCTACCCTTTTCTCCCCCTCCCCCCCTTCCCCTTCCTCCACACCCCAGTCCAAGTCCGACATCGAGAACGTTCGTCGCGAGGTTGCCACCCTAAACCTCCTCAAATCCCACCCCAACGTAATCCACCTAGAAGAACCCATCGAAACCCCCAGCGCCATCCACCTCATCATGGAGCTCTGTTCAGGCGGGGAGCTCTTCGATCGAATCAAGGAGCGGCGGCGGTACAGCGAGAGGGAGGCGGCGGCGGTGATGCGCGCGCTGCTGGGCGTGCTGCAGAGCTGCCACCAGTGCCACCACGTGGTGCACCGCGACATCAAGCCCGAAAACATCCTCCTCGCCCACCCCTCCTCCCACACTGACGTCCGCGTTATTGACTTCGGCGTTGCCGCGTTTCTCAAGCCCGGGGGAAAGATGTTGAGCGATGCCGTTGGGTCGCTGTTTTATATCGCGCCAGAGGTGATTTCTGGGTCGTATGGGACTCCGGCGGACGTGTGGTCGGCGGGGGTTGTCCTGTATGTGCTGCTGGCCGGCGTGCCGCCGTTTTGGGCGGAGACGGAGGCGGGGGTGGCGAGGGCGATCAAGGAGGCGGAGGTGGGGTTTCAGGGGTCGGTGTGGAGGGGTGTTACGGAGGAGGGGAAAGATTTGATTCTGCGGATGCTGGATCGGGATCAGAAGAGGAGGGTTTCTGCACAGGAGGCGTTAGGTGGGTTCTGGTCGGTATGGTGGGTCTGGTAAGCGGTTGGATGAGGTTCATTCATGGGAGGTATGTGGGTTGGAGTCTAAGGCAGCGAGGCAGGTGTGAGGATGGGCATGTGCACGAACATTTGCTTGCCAGCATGATTCTTACTGCTTCCCAGATGCATTTCTGTCTCGTGACTTTTCCCTTCTGTTCTGATGTGGGTGGGAAGATGCTGGTTGCTCGTCTTTTTTCGCTCCTCGTATTCCCTTCCATCCTCTTTCCACATCCCACGCTCATCAGACTCTCTTCCTTGCCCACTCCCCTTTGATTGGATTGATTTGGTTGCAGAGCATCCCTGGTTCAGTCGTTTTCAGTGAACCCATCGACTGCGCTTTTTTTTTGTAAGAGAGGGGGGGTAACAACATGGACTAAGTTTATTTAATATGATTAACCAGTCTTCGAGCGCAGTGGATGGAAACCCACGGTCTAATCTGAGTGCTTATATTATGCAGTTTATTCATAAAATACTTCGTGAGGTACCGGGAGCAGCAGTGGGGGCATTTGCTGATTCCAGGCTAGAAATATAGACTACGAAATGCATGATTGCATCCAGCCCAAATAGTCACTGCTTTTCGGATTTCACAATAACGAGTTTGTTATGGTCCAAACACCACCAATGTTGGAATCCCCAAGGCGAAACTACTTTTCAGCGAGCAACCAAGCACCCGCCACGTACGCAGCACGGTCCGAGACAGATTCAACTGCGACCAAGCGTCGCCGCCGGCGCCGGTAGCGGCGGACTGGATAGCTTTATCCGAGGCGGGTTGGGTAGCGATCTTATTGGTTGTCGTCGAAGCCAATGACGTCATCCTCGTGCCTTCGCCACACATGGCCATCTTCTAGCCTTTCAACGCCCCGCGCGATTCACGCCGTGAATCGCGGAGGTGGTAGGGGGACCGGTGCTGTTCCTTGCAACTGTCAAACGACCGGGCGACCAATGGCGACCCGATCAGTCACAGCTCGTTACAATCACGCCCCCCGCCGATCTCAGCCAATCAGCCGTCTCCTAGGCTCCACGTGGCCACCTTCCCTCGCGTCCGTACACGCGACGCGAACCACCCACCATTCGCGTTATAACGTTCCCCGTGAGACAGCACGTGCGCTGAATCCGACGTGTCGCCCGACGGCAAGCCTAGCTGGATTTGGTCGTGTTTCATCGACCAGCGGTGTGGGTTTGGCCATTGGAATCGGCGCGCTTATAACGTATCTTGCTATCAAGAATGGAAGGAGATTAATCGACGGCAGGAGGAGCGCGACGAGCGGGAGCACCGCCGGTATTCGCGGTTCAATAGTCGCCGCGAGGAGCGACGCTGCGAAAGACAGTGCTGTTGCTAGCGGGAACGGCGCCGGGAAATCCGCCGGAAATCCCGGATGTGGGAAGCCGAAGCGGAGTCCGGAAGGGCTGAAGCTGGTTGGGGGGAATGGAGAGGTACATCGGGAGCTGACGTGGCAGCTCCCCTCGTTACAAGAACCTTACAGGTGATTTCAAGGACAAAGGAAGTGTCAGCAAAAATAATTGCTGGCGTTCGAAACCTGGATACACACCCTTTAGAGGAACTCGTTTCTTAAACTGAAACTGATTTTGAGTTGACTCAAAAACAGGATACACTCCCTTTAGAGGAACTCGTTTCTCAGGCTGAATCTGACACCAGTTGCCTCTTCTATCCCCTTCTCCTACTTTCCAGCACAGGCCCTTCTTTGGACCACTGGCGAACTGCCACGTGGAGACCATCTTTGCAGCCGTGGCGCGCTCCCTGCCTGCCGTGCGGTTCAGACGGGAGTGCCTGAGAATGGCGGATGGCGGCACGGTGGCTCTTGATTGGCCCGTTGGGGGCGAGGCGCTGGAAGGCACGTCGGCCAATGGCAAGGTGCCACCTGGCACTCCCTGGCTGATCCTGCTGGTGAGTTTTTTTGTGATTGTTTGTGCACTATTTACTGTAGCTCACTGCGAAATGTACACTGTAGCGCAGCCACAGTAGCACAACGACTCTCATGGCATCTCATCCCTTCTCACCGCTCTCCCCCATCCCATCTAGCCCGGGCTGACAGGCGGCAGTGGTGACACGTATGTGCGGCACATGCTGGTGCTTTGAATGCTCTCATCCCATCGTTCGCCCACCTTATTGCTGTCCCACCCACCTTCCTTGCATACACGCTCCCACGCTTTCCTCACCCACCCGCCAGCCCGGGCTGACAGGAGGCAGCGGTGACACGTACGTGAGGCACATGCTGGTGCGGGCCAGGAGGGTGGGGTGGGGCACCGTGGTGTTCAACTCCAGAGGCTGCGCTAACAGCCCCGTCACCTCGCCCCAGGTGATTCACGTGCACCTGATTCTCCGGTGTTATTGAGGTGATTCACGTGATTTCACATGCCACATGACACATGCCACGTGTCTCATCTCAAGTCTTATGGAGGGCGGGGTGGGGTCCAGTGGTCTTTTACTTGCGAGGCTGTGCTAACAGCCTCGTCACCTCGCCCCAGGTGATTCACGGGCAGCTAATTCTCCAGGTGATACCCCAGGTGTTACCCCAGGTGCTACCCCAGGTGCTACCCCAGGTGCTACCCCAGGTGATACCCCAGGTGCTACCCCAGGTGATACCCCAGGTGCTACCCCAGGTGATACCCCAGGTGCTACCCCAGGTGCTACCCCAGGTGATACCCCAGGTGATACCCCAGGTGCTACTCCAGGTGATACCCCAGGTGTTACCCCAGTTGCTACCTCAGGTGCTACCCCAGGTGCTACCCCAGGTGATACCCCAGGTGCTACCCCAGGTGATACCCCAGATGCTACCCCAGGTGATACCCCAGCCAGGTGATACCCCAGGTGCTACCCCAGGTGATACCCCATGCTACCCCAGGTGCTACCCCAGGTGATACCCCAGGTGATACCCCAGGTGCTACCCCAGGTGATACCCCAGGTGTTACCCCAGGTGCTACCCCAGGTGCTACCCCAGGTGCTACCCCAGGTGATACCCCAGGTGCTACCCCAGGTGATACCCCAGGTGCTACCCCAGGTGATACCCCAGATGCTACCCCAGGTGATACCCCAGGTGCTACCCCAGGTGATACCCCAGGTGCTACCCCAGGTCATAGCCCAGGTGTTAACGCAGTTGAGATATCAACGTTGGTGATTGATGCCCCATCACCTCGCCCCAGGTGATTCTCATGATGCCACATGCTGCGTGCTTGATTTAAGGCAGTTGGCGTGCCTTATACGACGTCTCAAAAGTCCCCCTTGGTTTTCCCCCCCAAACCCCCCCCGTCTCCAACCTTCCTTCTCCAGTTCTACTCAGCATCGTTCACGGAGGATCTACGGCAGGTGGTGCGCCACGTGGCAGCGCTGCAGCCGCTCTCACGCCTCTATGCTGCTGGCTGGTCACTGGGGGCCAACATCCTCGTGCGCTACCTCGCCCAGGTGGGTGAAACTGGCTTATCCCTTCGACCTCGTGCTGGCTGATAGGAACTTCCACATGTCCTGCCGCCCTTACCTGCATGCACCCATCTCTCCCTCCATGCACCCATCTCTCCCTCCATGCACCCATCTCTCCCTCCATGCACCCATCTCTCCCTCCATGCACCCATCTCTCCCTCCATGCACCCATCTCTCCCTCCATGCACCCATCTCTCCCTCCATGCACCCATCTCTCCCTCCATGCACCCATCTCTCCCTCCATGCACCCATCTCTCCCTCCATGCACCCATCTCTCCCTCCATGCACCCATCTCTCCCTCCATGCACCCATCTCTCCCTCCATGCACCCATCTCTCCCTCCATGCACCCATCTCTCCCTCCATGCACCCATCTCTCCCTCCATGCACCCATCTCTCCCTCCATGCACCCATCTCTCCCTCCATGCACCCATCTCTCCCTCCATGCACCCATCTCTCCCTCCATGCACCCATCTCTCCCTCCATGCACCCATCTCTCCCTCCATGCACCCATCTCTCCCTCCATGCACCCATCTCTCCCTCCATGCACCCATCTCTCCCTCCATGCACCCATCTCTCCCTCCATGCACCCATCTCTCCCTCCATGCACCCATCTCTCCCTCCATGCACCCATCTCTCCCTCCATGCACCCATCTCTCCCTCCATGCACCCATCTCTCCCTCCATGCACCCATCTCTCCCTCCATGCACCCATCTCTCCCTCCATGCACCCATCTCTCCCTCCATGCACCCATCTCTCCCTCCATGCACCCATCTCTCCCTCCATGCACCCATCTCTCCCTCCATGCACCCATCTCTCCCTCCATGCACCCATCTCTCCCTCCATGCACCCATCTCTCCCTCCATGCACCCATCTCTCCCTCCATGCACCCATCTCTCCCTCCATGCACCCATCTCTCCCTCCATGCACCCATCTCTCCCTCCATGCACCCATCTCTCCCTCCATGCACCCATCTCTCCCTCCATGCACCCATCTCTCCCTCCATGCACCCATCTCTCCCTCCATGCACCCATCTCTCCCTCCATGCACCCATCTCTCCCTCCATGCACCCATCTCTCCCTCCATGCACCCATCTCTCCCTCCATGCACCCATCTCTCCCTCCATGCACCCATCTCTCCCTCCATGCACCCATCTCTCCCTCCATGCACCCATCTCTCCCTCCATGCACCCATCTCTCCCTCCATGCACCCATCTCTCCCTCCATGCACCCATCTCTCCCTCCATGCACCCATCTCTCCCTCCATGCACCCATCTCTCCCTCCATGCACCCATCTCTCCCTCCATGCACCCATCTCTCCCTCCATGCACCCATCTCTCCCTCCATGCACCCATCTCTCCCTCCATGCACCCATCTCTCCCTCCATGCACCCATCTCTCCCTCCATGCACCCATCTCTCCCTCCATGCACCCATCTCTCCCTCCATGCACCCATCTCTCCCTCCATGCACCCATCTCTCCCTCCATGCACCCATCTCTCCCTCCATGCACCCATCTCTCCCTCCATGCACCCATCTCTCCCTCCATGCACCCATCTCTCCCTCCATGCACCCATCTCTCCCTCCATGCACCCATCTCTCCCTCCATGCACCCATCTCTCCCTCCATGCACCCATCTCTCCCTCCATGCACCCATCTCTCCCTCCATGCACCCATCTCTCCCTCCATGCACCCATCTCTCCCTCCATGCACCCATCTCTCCCTCCATGCACCCATCTCTCCCTCCATGCACCCATCTCTCCCTCCATGCACCCATCTCTCCCTCCATGCACCCATCTCTCCCTCCATGCACCCATCTCTCCCTCCATGCACCCATCTCTCCCTCCATGCACCCATCTCTCCCTCCATGCACCCATCTCTCCCTCCATGCACCCATCTCTCCCTCCATGCACCCATCTCTCCCTCCATGCACCCATCTCTCCCTCCATGCACCCATCTCTCCCTCCATGCACCCATCTCTCCCTCCATGCACCCATCTCTCCCTCCATGCACCCATCTCTCCCTCCATGCACCCATCTCTCCCTCCATGCACCCATCTCTCCCTCCATGCACCCATCTCTCCCTCCATGCACCCATCTCTCCCTCCATGCACCCATCTCTCCCTCCATGCACCCATCTCTCCCTCCATGCACCCATCTCTCCCTCCATGCACCCATCTCTCCCTCCATGCACCCATCTCTCCCTCCATGCACCCATCTCTCCCTCCATGCACCCATCTCTCCCTCCATGCACCCATCTCTCCCTCCATGCACCCATCTCTCCCTCCATGCACCCATCTCTCCCTCCATGCACCCATCTCTCCCTCCATGCACCCATCTCTCCCTCCATGCACCCATCTCTCCCTCCATGCACCCATCTCTCCCTCCATGCACCCATCTCTCCCTCCATGCACCCATCTCTCCCTCCATGCACCCATCTCTCCCTCCATGCACCCATCTCTCCCTCCATGCACCCATCTCTCCCTCCATGCACCCATCTCTCCCTCCATGCACCCATCTCTCCCTCCATGCACCCATCTCTCCCTCCATGCACCCATCTCTCCCTCCATGCACCCATCTCTCCCTCCATGCACCCATCTCTCCCTCCATGCACCCATCTCTCCCTCCATGCACCCATCTCTCCCTCCATGCACCCATCTCTCCCTCCATGCACCCATCTCTCCCTCCATGCACCCATCTCTCCCTCCATGCACCCATCTCTCCCTCCATGCACCCATCTCTCCCTCCATGCACCCATCTCTCCCTCCATGCACCCATCTCTCCCTCCATGCACCCATCTCTCCCTCCATGCACCCATCTCTCCCTCCATGCACCCATCTCTCCCTCCATGCACCCATCTCTCCCTCCATGCACCCATCTCTCCCTCCATGCACCCATCTCTCCCTCCATGCACCCATCTCTCCCTCCATGCACCCATCTCTCCCTCCATGCACCCATCTCTCCCTCCATGCACCCATCTCTCCCTCCATGCACCCATCTCTCCCTCCATGCACCCATCTCTCCCTCCATGCACCCATCTCTCCCTCCATGCACCCATCTCTCCCTCCATGCACCCATCTCTCCCTCCATGCACCCATCTCTCCCTCCATGCACCCATCTCTCCCTCCATGCACCCATCTCTCCCTCCATGCACCCATCTCTCCCTCCATGCACCCATCTCTCCCTCCATGCACCCATCTCTCCCTCCATGCACCCATCTCTCCCTCCATGCACCCATCTCTCCCTCCATGCACCCATCTCTCCCTCCATGCACCCATCTCTCCCTCCATGCACCCATCTCTCCCTCCATGCACCCATCTCTCCCTCCATGCACCCATCTCTCCCTCCATGCACCCATCTCTCCCTCCATGCACCCATCTCTCCCTCCATGCACCCATCTCTCCCTCCATGCACCCATCTCTCCCTCCATGCACCCATCTCTCCCTCCATGCACCCATCTCTCCCTCCATGCACCCATCTCTCCCTCCATGCACCCATCTCTCCCTCCATGCACCCATCTCTCCCTCCATGCACCCATCTCTCCCTCCATGCACCCATCTCTCCCTCCATGCACCCATCTCTCCCTCCATGCACCCATCTCTCCCTCCATGCACCCATCTCTCCCTCCATGCACCCATCTCTCCCTCCATGCACCCATCTCTCCCTCCATGCACCCATCTCTCCCTCCATGCACCCATCTCTCCCTCCATGCACCCATCTCTCCCTCCATGCACCCATCTCTCCCTCCATGCACCCATCTCTCCCTCCATGCACCCATCTCTCCCTCCATGCACCCATCTCTCCCTCCATGCACCCATCTCTCCCTCCATGCACCCATCTCTCCCTCCATGCACCCATCTCTCCCTCCATGCACCCATCTCTCCCTCCATGCACCCATCTCTCCCTCCATGCACCCATCTCTCCCTCCATGCACCCATCTCTCCCTCCATGCACCCATCTCTCCCTCCATGCACCCATCTCTCCCTCCATGCACCCATCTCTCCCTCCATGCACCCATCTCTCCCTCCATGCACCCATCTCTCCCTCCATGCACCCATCTCTCCCTCCATGCACCCATCTCTCCCTCCATGCACCCATCTCTCCCTCCATGCACCCATCTCTCCCTCCATGCACCCCATCTCTCCCTCCATGCACCCATCTCTCCCTCCATGCACCCATCTCTCCCTCCATGCACCCATCTCTCCCTCCATGCACCCATCTCTCCCTCCATGCACCCATCTCTCCCTCCATGCACCCATCTCTCCCTCCATGCACCCATCTCTCCCTCCATGCACCCATCTCTCCCTCCATGCACCCATCTCCTCCATCACCCATCTCCCTCCATGCACCCATCTCTCCTCCATGCACCCATCTCTCCCTCCATGCACCCATCTCTCCCTCCATGCACCCATCTCTCCCTCCATGCACCCATCTCTCCCTCCATGCACCCATCTCTCCCTCCATGCACCCATCTCTCCCTCCATGCACCCATCTCTCCCTCCATGCACCCATCTCTCCCTCCATGCACCCATCTCTCCCCCTCCCATGCACCCATCTCTCCCTCCATGCACCCATCTCTCCCTCCATGCACCCATCTCTCCCTCCATGCACCCAATCTCTCCCTCCATGCACCCATCTCTCCCTCCATGCACCCATCTCTCCCTCCATGCACCCATCTCTCCCTCCATGCACCCATCTCTCCCTCCATGCACCCAATCTCTCCCTCCATGCACCCATCTCTCCCTCCATGCACCCATCTCTCCCTCCATGCACCCATCTCTCCCTCCATGCACCCATCTCTCCCTCCATGCACCCATCTCTCCCTCCATGCACCCATCTCTCCCTCATGCACCCATCTCTCCCTCCATGCACCCATCTCTCCCTCCATGCACCCATCTCTCCCTCCATGCACCCATCTCTCCCTCCATGCACCCATTCTCTCCCTCCATGCACCCATCTCTCCCTCCATGCACCCATCTCTCCCTCCATGCACCCATCTCTCCCTCCATGCACCCATTCTCTCCCTCCATCATGGCACCCATCTCTCCCTCCATGCACCCATCTCTCCCTGCATGCACCCATCTCTCCCTCCATGCACCCATCTCTCCCTCCATGCACCCATCTCTCCCTCCATGCACCCATCTCTCCCTGCATGCACCCATCTCTCCCTCCATGCACCCATCTCTCCCTCCATGCACCCATCTCTCCCTCCATGCACCCATCTCTCCCTGCATGCACCCATCTCTCCCTCCATGCACCCATCTCTCCCTGCATGCACCCATCTCTCCCTCCATGCACCCATCTCTCCCTCCATGCACCCATCTCTCCCTCCATGCACCCATCTCTCCCTCCATGCACCCATCTCTCCCTCCATGCACCCATCTCTCCCTCCATGCACCCATCTCTCCCTCCATGCACCCATCTCTCCCTCCATGCACCCATCTCTCCCTCCATGCACCCATCTCTCCCTCCATGCACCCATCTCTCCCTCCATGCACCCATCTCTCCCTCCATGCACCCATCTCTCCCTCCATGCACCCATCTCTCCCTCCATGCACCCATCTCTCCCTCCATGCACCCATCTCTCCCTCCATGCACCCATCTCTCCCTCCATGCACCCATCTCTCCCTCCATGCACCCATCTCTCCCTCCATGCACCCATCTCTCCCTCCATGCACCCATCTCTCCCTCCATGCACCCATCTCTCCCTCCATGCACCCATCTCTCCCTCCATGCACCCATCTCTCCCTCCATGCACCCATCTCTCCCTCCATGCACCCATCTCTCCCTCCATGCACCCATCTCTCCCTCCATGCACCCATCTCTCCCTCCATGCACCCATCTCTCCCTCCATGCACCCATCTCTCCCTCCATGCACCCATCTCTCCCTCCATGCACCCATCTCTCCCTCCATGCACCCATCTCTCCCTCCATGCACCCATCTCTCCCTCCATGCACCCATCTCTCCCTCCATGCACCCATCTCTCCCTCCATGCACCCATCTCTCCCTCCATGCACCCATCTCTCCCTCCATGCACCCATCTCTCCCTCCATGCACCCATCTCTCCCTCCATGCACCCATCTCTCCCTCCATGCACCCATCTCTCCCTCCATGCACCCATCTCTCCCTCCATGCACCCATCTCTCCCTCCATGCACCCATCTCTCCCTCCATGCACCCATCTCTCCCTCCATGCACCCATCTCTCCCTCCATGCACCCATCTCTCCCTCCATGCACCCATCTCTCCCTCCATGCACCCATCTCTCCCTCCATGCACCCATCTCTCCCTCCATGCACCCATCTCTCCCTCCATGCACCCATCTCTCCCTCCATGCACCCATCTCTCCCTCCATGCACCCATCTCTCCCTCCATGCACCCATCTCTCCCTCCATGCACCCATCTCTCCCTCCATGCACCCATCTCTCCCTCCATGCACCCATCTCTCCCTCCATGCACCCATCTCTCCCTCCATGCACCCATCTCTCCCTCCATGCACCCATCTCTCCCTCCATGCACCCATCTCTCCCTCCATGCACCCATCTCTCCCTCCATGCACCCATCTCTCCCTCCATGCACCCATCTCTCCCTCCATGCACCCATCTCTCCCTCCATGCACCCATCTCTCCCTCCATGCACCCATCTCTCCCTCCATGCACCCATCTCTCCCTCCATGCACCCATCTCTCCCTCCATGCACCCATCTCTCCCTCCATGCACCCATCTCTCCCTCCATGCACCCATCTCTCCCTCCATGCACCCATCTCTCCCTCCATGCACCCATCTCTCCCTCCATGCACCCATCTCTCCCTCCATGCACCCATCTCTCCCTCCATGCACCCATCTCTCCCTCCATGCACCCATCTCTCCCTCCATGCACCCATCTCTCCCTCCATGCACCCATCTCTCCCTCCATGCACCCATCTCTCCCTCCATGCACCCATCTCTCCCTCCATGCACCCATCTCTCCCTCCATGCACCCATCTCTCCCTCCATGCACCCATCTCTCCCTCCATGCACCCATCTCTCCCTCCATGCACCCATCTCTCCCTCCATGCACCCATCTCTCCCTCCATGCACCCATCTCTCCCTCCATGCACCCATCTCTCCCTCCATGCACCCATCTCTCCCTCCATGCACCCATCTCTCCCTCCATGCACCCATCTCTCCCTCCATGCACCCATCTCTCCCTCCATGCACCCATCTCTCCCTCCATGCACCCATCTCTCCCTCCATGCACCCATCTCTCCCTCCATGCACCCATCTCTCCCTCCATGCACCCATCTCTCCCTCCATGCACCCATCTCTCCCTCCATGCACCCATCTCTCCCTCCATGCACCCATCTCTCCCTCCATGCACCCATCTCTCCCTCCATGCACCCATCTCTCCCTCCATGCACCCATCTCTCCCTCCATGCACCCATCTCTCCCTCCATGCACCCATCTCTCCCTCCATGCACCCATCTCTCCCTCCATGCACCCATCTCTCCCTCCATGCACCCATCTCTCCCTCCATGCACCCATCTCTCCCTCCATGCACCCATCTCTCCCTCCATGCACCCATCTCTCCCTCCATGCACCCATCTCTCCCTCCATGCACCCATCTCTCCCTCCATGCACCCATCTCTCCCTCCATGCACCCATCTCTCCCTCCATGCACCCATCTCTCCCTCCATGCACCCATCTCTCCCACTGTGCACCCGTCCGTGCTGCCCCTCTATCATGGCAGGAAGGAGAGGAGGTGCCTCTGTCAGGAGCCGTGTCTCTGTGCAACCCCTTCGACCTCGTGTTGGCTGATCGGAACTTCCACATCGGATTCAACAACTTCTATGATCAACGGCTGGGATCGACTCTCAGGGGTATTTATGCCAAGTACGTGCTGTACACCCCTGTTGTTGCACACCCGTCTTGTTGCACACCCGTCTTGTTGTATACTCTCCCCCATCTTCTCTCCCCCCCTCCCACCATCCCCCCTCTCCTCTCCCTATTCTCTCCCCACTCCCCCCTCACCCCTCTCTCCCTTCACCAGCCACGCGCCTCTGTTTGAGGGGCTAGGCGGCGAATATGCCTTAGAGCTCGTTGCATGGGCCAAGACCCACGAGGCAATTCACCATCTTTATCTCCTCCCCTCCCTCCACCCCCCCACCATCTTCCCCCCACCCCTCTCCCACCAGCCACGCGCCTCTGTTTGAGGGGCTGGGAGGCAAGTATGACATATGCTCGTAGCACGAGCCAAGGCACATGGGGCGTTTCAGAATCCCCATCTCCTCCCGCTCCCTCCTTTCCCTTCCCCTCCCCCGCGTCTCGCCTCTCCCCTCACCAGCCACGCGCCCCTGTTTGAGGGGCTGGGCGGCGAGTACGACATAGTCCTCGTTGCACGCGCCAAAACCTACGAGGCGACTCACAATCGTATCCCCTTCCCTTCCCTCCACCCCTCTCTCTCCCTCTCCAACCCCCTCGTTCTGATCTCACCAGCCACGCGCCCCTGTTTGAGGGGCTGGGTGGCGAGTACGACATAGACCTCGTTGCTCGCGCCAAGACCGTGCGAGATTTCGACGTGGGGCTCACACGAGGTGGGTGGATAGGGTGGGGTGGGGTGGGGTGGGGTGGGGTGGGGTGGGGTGTGGGGTGGGTGGTGAGCACAGGATTCACAGTGACACAGGGGCATACAAGCAGTGGGGCATACAAGCAGTGGGGCATTCCATCTCTCCCTTTCAATCTCTCCCATTCCATCTCTCCCATTCCATCTCTCCCTTTCCATCTCTCCCATTCCATCTCTCCCATTCCATCTCTCCCTTTCCATCTCTCCCTTTCCATCTCTCCCATTCCATCTCTCCCTTTCCATCTCTCCCATTCCATCTCTCCGTTTCCATCTCTCCGTTTCCATCCCTCCCATTCCATCTCTCCGTTTCCATCTCTCCCATTCCATCTCTCCCATTCCATCTCTCCAATTCCATCTCTCCCTTTCCATCTCTCCCATTCAATCTCTCCCATTCCATCTCTCCCTTTCCATCTCTCCCATTCCATCTCTCCCATTCCATCTCTCCCTTTCCATCTCTCCCATTCCATCTCTCCCATTCCATCTCTCCCTTTCCATCTCTCCCATTCCATCTCTCCCATTCCATCTCTCCCTTTCCATCTCTCCCATTCCATCTCTCCCATTCCATCTCTCCCTTTCCATCTCTCCCTTTCCATCTCTCCCATTCCATCTCTCCCTTTCCATCTCTCCCATTCCATCTCTCCCATTCCATCTCTCCCTTTCCATCTCTCCCATTCCATCTCTCCATTTCCATCTCTCCCATTCCATCTCTCCCATTCCATCTCTCCCATTCCATCTCTCCCCTTCGATCTCTCCCATTCCATCTCTCCATTTCCATCTCTCCCATTCCATCTCTCCCATTCCATCTCTCCCATTCCATCTCTCCCCTTCGATCTCTCCCATTCCATCTCTCCCATGCCATCTCTCCCTTTCCATCTCTCCCTTTCCATCCCTCCCATTCCATCTCTCCGTTTCCATCTCTCCGTTTCCATCTCTCCCATTCCATCTCTCCCATTCCATCTCTCCCATTCCATCTCTCCGTTTCCATCTCTCCGTTTCCATCTCTCCCATTCCATCTCTCCCTTTCCATCTCTCCCATTCCATCTCTCCCTTTCCATCTCTCCCATTCCATCTCTCCCATTCCATCTCTCCCTTTCCATCTCTCCCATTCCATCTCTCCATTTCCATCTCTCCCATTCCATCTCTCCCATTCCATCTCTCCCATTCCATCTCTCCCATTCCATCTCTCCCCTTCCATCTCTCCCATTCCATCTCTCCCATGCCATCTCTCCCTTTCCATCTCTCCCTTTCCATCTCTCCCATTCCATCTCTCCGTTTCCATCTCTCCGTTTCCATCTCTCCCTTTCCATCTCTCCCATTCCATCTCTCCGTTTCCATCTCTCCGTTTCCATCTCTCCCATTCCATCTCTCCCATTCCATCTCTCGCTTCCCATCTCTCCCATTCCATCTCTCCGTTTCCATCTCTCCGTTTCCATCTCTCCCATTCCATCTCTCCCTTTCCATCTCTCCCATTCCATCTCTCCCATTCCATCTCTCCCTTTCCATCTCTCCCTTTCCATCTCTTCCATTCCATTTCTCCCTTTCCATCTCTCCCATTCCATCTCTCCCATTCCATCTCTCCCTTTCCATCTCTCCCATTCCATCTCTCCCATTCCATCTCTCCCATTCCATCTCTCCCATTCCAACTCTCCCTTTCCATCTCTCCCTTTCCATCTCTCCCATTCCATCTCTCCCATTCCATATCTCCCTTTCCATCTCTCCCTTTCCAACGTTCCCATTCCATCGCTCCTCCTGAGTCTCCTTTGGGTGCCCCTCAGTGCACGCCTATTACTGGAATGCCAGCAGCTTCCGATGCAGTTCAGAGGTCATCCCAGAAACCAGTTCTCCTCTCGTCTCTCCCATCCCTCTGCTCCTCCGCAGTCTCATTCGGCTATCCCACAGTAGACGCCTATTACAGTGATGCCAGCAGCTGTCGAAGTATCAAGGACGTGCGCTTGCCTCTGCTGTGCGTTCAGGTGAGTTGCTCATGTGCAGTCATGCTCCTTTTTCTTTCTGCTAGAAAGAAGAAAAAACGAAAACAACCAAAGGACAAGGTTCTCAGCATGTCATTTTTTTACATCTGAACACCCCTGAGAATACTTGATTCATTCTTGGCAATCCTAGATGTCGCTCATATCAGACCCTTCTATCCAGTCATTCCTAATCACAAGCATGACTGGAGGATGTTGGCTATGTTGCTGCATTCTTCCTTTTGAAACGCCCCACGCACAACTCAGCCCGGCGCGACGAGCCCATCGCCAACATTCTTCTTTTTTTTGTAAAATGATATGCGAGTTTCGTGTTTCTTGTACAATGATATGCAAGTTTCGTGTTTCTTCTGTCATCTCACAATGAGTCCAACTTTGGTTCCTTCTTTCCTATTTTTTTGCTTCTTGTCCAACCCTTCCAATCCCTTTGCTTTCCCCACATTCATCTGAATTTGCTGCCAATGCCCCTCTATTCCGTCTGTGCCTTCTCCCCCACCAGGCTTTGGATGATCCCATCGCACCTGCGGATGGCATTCCGTATGAGGCTATCGAGGTACCGTGCCATGTGCACTTTGACATTGGTACTTGTGATGTGGTGTGATTACATGTGGTTGTATGTCATGTCATGTCATGTGATGAGCATGTCATGACATGGGGGGTGTAAGTTGTTCTGGACAAAGATTTTTCTGTATGAGAGCCTTGGGTGCTCACCTCACCACGTTGTGGTTCCATTGCATTGGGGGCCGTCTGGTTCTGAAACGTCTCAAACTTCTGTTCCTATCTACAATCTTCTTCTAATCCACTCTCTTTCCTCGTTTTCCTGGAACAACCCCCCCCATGCTTGTCGGCACATCCCATGGGGGGGGTCCATCTGGTTTGAGACGTGTCAAGCTGGAACTCAGGACCCGTGGATGGTACTTTTGAGAATTCTCAAAAGGACCCGTGGGACCTCACGGGCGTGTCGAGCTTCTGTTCTTATTTACAAATGCACTTTCATCCACTTGCTATTTTCCTCTCATCTTCCAGAACAACCCCCTCACCATGCTTGTCGGAACATCCCACGGGGGACATCTGGGCTGGGTGGCGGGTCTCGAGGCTCCTTTCGGGGCCCCTTGGCCGGACGTACTCACTATGGAGTTCCTCGAAGGGTTGGAGAAGAGGGCTGTTGAGGATGAAGGCGAGGGTATTCCCCAGGAGACTGCTTATGAGAAGTTGTTTGGGCAAGAGGAGGAGTTGGAAGTGGTTGGAGAGGGTTTGGCGGGTGGTGAGGGTGCACGGGGTCGTGATGGGGGTAGTGAAGGAGGAATCAAGGTATCGTGGTAAATACGGTTGCCGCTGATATATGTACTCAGCCATTGAATTTTGGCCTACACGATTGCTGAAACTCAAGAATTTGAGGCAAGTTAAAGCATATTTGACACTTGTACATCCAATTGAGAGTGTTTCAATCGACACCTCATTGCCATATAAATTTAACATGTATATTTTTAAAAGCTGTAACGCTTTTCAAAATTATGTATTTTGAAAGCGAAGCTGCTTGTAATGTAGGATGTGGCAGCGTCGAGCCGCGCTAAACGCCCGTTTTGGAGTACAAAACGTGGGCTGCAGGTCATTTCCCTCCACCCACGTCTCTCATTTTCAAACGGTTTAGCCGATTTTCATTCTCAACTCTCGTCTCCCACTCTCAAGCTGGCGAAGTTGAAGTCTCTTCCCCGATTTCAATCCCCGTCGACTTTACTCTCTGACATTTTCGCTCACAACGCAGCAACCATGGCACTTAACGACGGCGAGGGTAATACCGCTACCGCCTCTGTTCGACCCGAGTCCGGAAGAAACGCACGCGAAATTGCCGGCGATCGTCCTAACAAGCGTCGGGCAGACGACGGGGAAATTTCCCCGACTGGCGTCGACGTACTGCTGGGCGCGACCGAGGCTCACGCCCCTGGAGTCGAGGCACACGCCCTTGGTGTGCCTCGAGCCCCTGTGGCCCCTCAGGCGCTGGCCGCGACAGAAGGCGCCAAGTCGGCGCCAACCAGCGCGGCTGGCACCCCGCGTCCGCGTCAGCGCCGCAGGCCCGTGGGCCCTGACGCGCCTGTGGGCCCTGACGCGCCTGTGGGGCCTGACGCGCAAGTGGCGCCAAGCTTCACTGCAGCCCAACTGCAGCAGCTTTTGTCCCTGTTACAGCAGTAGGCCCCTACTGTTACGGAAGAAATCGCTACACCGAACACGACTTCCGTTTCTGCTAAAAGCGAAAAGGCGAAAACGGAGTCTGTGAAGCGCGCTCGCACGACAAAAACCGGAAGGGGCGAAGACACACGCGCCGCTGCCGCTCCAGTCATGAACAACCCCATCGACAGCGACAATGAAGACGACGACGATGGTGAGGCACATGCCTTAAATGCCGCTTTTGCACCCGTTGAGCAACTCCCCCCACTCCCGTCTCCCAATCCCACTCTAACCGCCGCCTCGTTCAAGAACGCCGCCGTGCGCGAGCAAGCCGAGGTCCTGGAACACCTGCGGGCATACCTGAAGCATGCAGAGCACAAGGTGCGACACAACGAGCCGGAAAGCGCCCTCGAATACCTTGGCGAAGCTTTCACACTTATCACCAACCGCTTCAAGCTACTCCACGTCGCCGACTACACCAACTTCCGCACGGCAAATCGCTTCAAGCTCTACGAAGATAAGAGCGTCTTCACCTCACGCCCGTTCAAGCAAGCCGTCGCGGACGTGGCGGCGATGGAGCGCGCACAAGGCAATTTCAACCGTACCCCACGTGGCGGAGGTGTCAGATTTATATGACTTAGCTGCTGTAGGCTATAGTGGGGTAGCACATATGGGGTACAGCTTTCTAGGGTTTGTACTTGTACCCAACTTTCCCTTAGTCTTTTCATTCCTCGATCATTTTCACATGGTATAGAGCAGGTTCCCCTGTGGGAACTGTTCCTAGGGCCCACCAACTTTTTTTTCCTGCCCGGAGCGCGCTCAGCCTCTGCCCGAGTCGCGCTCCCCTCTCACGGCCCCGTCGCGCCGCCCTTACGACCCCGTCGCGCCGCCTCAGCGGCCCCGTCGCGTCGCGCCTCCCTAGCGGCCCCGTCGCGTCGCCCTTGCGACCCCGTCGCGCCGCCCTCGCGGTCCCGTCGCGTCGCGCCGCCCTCGCGGCCCTTTCGCGCCGCCCTCGCGGCCCTTTCGCGCCGCCCTCGCGGCCTCCTCGAGCCGCCCTCGCGACCCCTCCACGCCGCCCTTGCGGCCCCGTCGCCTACCCTTGCGGCCCCGGCGCCACCCTTCCCGGCCCCGGCGCCGCCCTTCCCGGCCCCGGCGCCGCCCTTCCCGGCCCCGGCGCCGCCTCTGCTGGCCCCGTCGCCCCACCCTTGCGACCCCGCGGCCCCACCCTTAAGGCGCCGGTCGCCACCCTTTGTGGCCCCGCCGCCGCCCTCAGCGGCCTCGTCGCCGCCCCACCCGGCCCCGCCGCCGTCCCCACGCGGCCCCGCCGTCACCACCGAGCCGCCGGCGCCGCTGAGCCGCCGATCTACCGAGCCGCCGCTGCTGCCGAGCCGCCCGAGCCACCCGAGCCGCCCGAGCCGCCGAGCCACCTGAGCCGCCCGAGCCGCCGAGTCGCCGAGCCGCCGAGCTCCAGTTGCTGCCGAGCCGCCGTGCCGCCGAGCCGCCCGAGCCGCCCGAGCCGCCGAGTCGCCGAGCCGCCGAGCTGCAGTTGCTGCCGAGCCGCCGAGCTGCCGAGCCGCCCGAGCCGCCCTGTCCGGTAAGAGCGGCACCTCTACCACTGCGCTGCCCTTACCCTACTGCTCCAGCTGCTAGTCTACTGCTGTCATGGCTACCCCCAGTGTCCTCGCTTTTGACGCTGAGGGTCGGGCCATTGACTTTGACGTCTGGGTAGATGACCTGCAGCTTTTCCTACAGTGCGACAGGGCAGACGGTCTCTCTCTCTTTGACCTCACTTCTGGTGCCTCTTCTGCCCCTGCTGCTGATGCTGACGCCACTGTTCGCTCACAGTGGGCCACACGCGATGCTGCTGCCCGTCTTGCTGTGCGCCGCCACTTGCCTACCGCTGAGCGTGCACACTTTAGTCAGTACAAGAGTGCTAAGACCTTGTACGACGCTGTAGTTGCACGCTACTCTTCCCCTGCCACTGCTGCACTTAGCCGCCTCATCCTGCCGTACCTCTTCCCTGACCTCGCCGCTTTTCCCACAGTCGCTGACCTCATTACGCACCTGCGCACTAGTGACACTCGCTACCGCGCTGCCCTTCCTCCTGAGCTCTGCGTCAAGAACCCCCCCCCTATGTACATCACCCTCTACTACGTAGTCACCCGGCTCCCTGACACCCTTCGCCCGGTCAGGGACCACTTTCTCTCTGTTTGCCCCACCACCCTCACCGTTGACCTCCTCGAGGAGCGCCTCCTAGCAGCAGAGAAGAGCATAGTCGCTGTAGGAGCCTCTCGTGGTGACCCTCGTGCCCCTGTCTTTGAGGGGTGCTCCCCCTCTCCTCTCTTGCCCTCTGTTGCCTCTGCTGCTGCGGCCGACCTCGTTGGTCTTGAGTCGGTCGGTGCGGCGTCTGCCCCTAGCGGGAGACGCCGCACTGGCAAGGGCAAGGGGGGCAGGGGCGCTGGAGGAGCTAGCGGGGGCGGTGGAGGCGGCGGTGGAGGCGGCGGAGGGGGTGGGAGGGGCGGTGGGGGTGGTGGCGGGGGTGGGGGCGTCGGTGGCGGCAGTGGAGGCGGAGGCGGCGGCGGCGGTGGCGGTGGGAGCGGAGGTGGCGGAGGTGGCGGCGGTGGAGGAGGCGGCGGCGGAGGAGGTGGAGCTGGTCGGGGTGGCGCTGCGCAGAGGGTCGGCTCCGGTGGTGGTCAGCGCCAGCAGCAGCAGCAGCGCACTCGTGAGATCCCCCCCCCTCAGCAGCTTCGTGAGTGGTACGCTGCACGCCAGCGGGGTGGGGGTACTGGTCCGTGCACCTACGTCCTACGCACCGGCGACCGCGCGGGTGAGCCGTGCGGGGGTGCGCACTCCACCCAGCGCTGCTTTGGCCGCCTGACGGACGCTTGGCGTCACCAGTTCCCTGAGGCCACTGAGATCCCTCGCTGGGGCGAGCTGTCTAGGGCGGGAGTAGCTATCTTTGACCTTGACTTTGATGCTATTCTTGCTGCCATGTATGCTGTGACTATTAGTGATGAGGGTGACTGTTACTGGTGTTTTCCGCCCGACCCGGGCATTGGGACTGCTGCTCTAGGTACTGGTGAGGCTGCTGCTCTAGGTGCTAGCGAGGCTGCTGCTCTAGGTGCCAGTGCGTCTGCTTCCTCAGGTGCTGGTGAGTCTGCTCTCTCAGGTACTGCGTCGGCTCCGGCCTCCCACACCTTCACTCTTGACTCGGGGGCTTCTCGCTCCTTCTTTCGAGACCGCACCACACTCACGCCGCTTGGTCGGCCAGTTGCAGTCTCTCTGGCAGACCCCTCTGGGGGTCCTGTCCTTGCTCACTTCTCCACTGTCCTCCCGTGTCCGGCGGCCCCCTCTGGCACCCTGTCTGGTCTTTACCTCCCCTCGTTCTCTACGAACTTGGTGAGTGGTGCTGACCTATAGGATGCGGGGGTTCACCAGTTCACTCCTGCGAGCCAGCGTGTGACCCACTGCACGGACGCTCGGACGGGCCGACACTTGGCCACGTTTACACGTCGGCCAGGGTCGAGCCTGTACACACTGACCACTGAGTCTCCTCCAGTCACTGCGTCTGGTCAGGCAGCTGCGTCGGGTCAGGTGTTTGCTGCAGCGTCCAGGTCTGGTCCTGAGTCTGCCCCCTGCTCGTGTCGCCTCCTGTCTCACGAGACTCTCCTCTGGCACCACCGCCTTGGTCACCCCTCCCTGCCTCGTCTCCGAGGCATGGCCTCCCGTGTCCTTGTCTCTGGTCTTCCCCGGTCCCTCCCTCCCCTTCCTCTGGGGCCTGCCCCTACCTGCGTCCCCTGTGTCGAGGGGCGGCAGCGTGCTGCCCCTCACTCCTCCCAGTTTCCTCCGACAGAGGCCCCGCTGCAGACGCTTCACATGGACGTGTGGGGCCCGGCCCGCGTCCGTGGACAGGGTCACGAGCGCTACTTCCTGCTGGTGGTTGACGACTACTCGCGTTACACCACAGTCTTCCCCTTGCGCAGCAAGGGTGATGTCACTGAGGTGTTGATCGACTGGATCCGCGCAGCTCGTCTCCAGCTCAGAGAGAGTTTCGGCTCGGACTTTCCTGTTCTGCGTCTGCACTCTGACAGAGGCGGAGAGTTCTCCTCTGGCCTTCTGCGAGCCTACTGTCGTGCACGAGGCATCCGCCAGACCTT